CGGTATTTCCCAGAAAGAGAAATTTACGATCGATTAAAATTGCTGTTCGAATTCCATCGTTCGATATCATTCAAATATTTTGCAAAAATCCGATGGAATTTTTGCTTCAAATTTATTCAAGAATCCAAGCTTTTTACTTACATCTTTGGAAGATATCCGCAATTAGATAACAAGACCCAATTTTCACGAGAAAAATTATTAAAAATCTTTCCTTGTTTCCGTTTTCTCCTCTCCTTGATAATTCTTGATAGCAATTCTCTATACTATGGTTGCCATAATAACGCAACAAGAAATGCCGAACACGAGGCAATTTGACAGAAATGAAACCGGAACCGGATTGAAGAACATTCCCTTCTCCGTGAAATACACGCGCGCATTCCAAAACCATCCTCTATCTTAATGAACTCGTTTTTTTTTTCCGTTGCTCGTTAAATGGAAATGCTTCGAAGAAATTAATTAAAGTAGAGGAATGAGTTGCATCGATGCCCGGCAAAATTTAATAGCTATCGTGTTTTGCCCTGAATGGAAAGTGACAGTGTAGTGAGAAGACTATGAAAATAACAATCCTTTTAATCTTCTTTGAATTTTAGTTTAGAAGTTTTTGTGCTTGCAAAAAGGAATTTAACAGGATTTCCTTTTTTTTTTTAATATTGCAAACTTTCATATTTCTAATTTTAGATACTATTGAATTTATTATCAAAATTACGCAATATGAGTAATGAAAAAAGATGTAAAAATAAAAATAGAAACTTATCGATATCGTCTCATTATTGCTTAAAAATTTTAATTATTTTTAAAAATCACAACAGATTTTTATTAATTAATTGTATCAAATCTTATATATTAAATCTGTTTATCAACATTGTATCAAACTGCTAATATTTTAAGCTCATCCTCGAGATTAGAAATTTTAAATCAGAAAATGCAAGGTTCAAATAAGAAAAGGCTACCGCTGCCCGAGCGAAATAAATTGGATAACATTACGCGGTATGTAATACAGCTTTCGTAGCTCGATTAAACACAGGCCGAGAAAAACACGATCCGCGATCAGAACACCGTAAAAGCCGGCATTTTTCATCGAACTGACAATTCTGTAAAATGCTTGAGAATTTATCGCCATGATTATTTATGATCTCATACGAGGTGTCGCCTGTTATCGCCGCATTATGAATTCAAACACCGTGCGAGCCGGCAAACATAGAGAACGAGACATATCCGCTCTTAATTATTTAAAGATTTTCCATTGTCACTGCGACCGATGGCGAAACAGTGCAGAGGATTACGTAATCGCAAATCACGATTGATTAGCCGCCTGTTAATAATTCCACGACGCTTTTAAAACGAAATGAATTACCACGTTGCTGTGCAATATGTCATATTCTACTACTTGCATCACGGTTCTGTGCTGTTACCGGCAAAAAATTAATGAGAAACTAATACGCGGTATATTGCAACATAATCGCGGTTTCATTATATTTTCTTGGATATATTATATCTGAAAAAAATTTTAAAAATGAAAATTGTCACAAAATTGCATCTGTTTTTTGAAAGTATATACAAACCGGTATTATATTTTTAAAATAGAGATGGAGGTGATAAAAAATTTCGGAAAAATGAATTAAATGATGTTGGAACGATAAAAATATTATAAAGATAAGAGAATGAACATAATTTTTACCTAAGAAAAATAAAATAATATGAATTTAATACTAAGATTTTTATAACAAGAAATTAATTTATATACAAAAAATTTCATTTTGCAATGATATCAAAAATAATACAAAAATTTAAGAGATCATTTAATTTTGAGCTATGAAATGTATTTTTAATTATTATAATCTTTAATTATTTTAAAAATATAATAATTTTTCCAATTATATGAAACATCTGTATAATTATTCAATTAATACTAATAATAATCAGATGATTATTCTGATTGATATTTTAAGATATTTAAAATTTATACAAAATTCTTAAATAGATATATTATTATTGATATCATTTTATTTAATTTATTATTGCAGAGATTAATTAAAATATATTTGCAAAAAATATGGACCACCAATAAATACAAAATTGGAATATTATACTCAATTAAATATAAAATTTACCGTGCAATGTTGAGAATGATTCATCAAAATGTACTTTTTTGTAAATTACACGAAGAGTAACAATCGTTATGGCAAAAACGACACATCTCTGTTTCTTTCCCGGTAAGTCAATTACAAAACCAGCAAGTATAAAGTGCTTATGAGTCATTCTGATTCCGATTATAAGGCGCGAACTTATATTATTTATTAATCATTTTTTCGCATAATAATCTTACGCAGCACAAAAAATTGTAAAAAAAGATTGTACTACAATAAACTGTTTTTAAAACGTATCCAAATTTTATATATACACACTTTAAACTTATTTTGTTCATCATTTTTTGTTCGTATAATAATCGAACGAGAAGTACAACGGAAAAAAAAAGAAAAAAATAGAAATTAACAAAAATAAAGGAAGAACAATCGTATAACTGGAACAAATGTTACAAATAATGAAATAATTACACAGTAAGAAAGAGAAGGAACATTAATTCGCAAAGAAAACCGATTTTAATCACAATTTTTTTAACGAAAAAAAATTGTGCGAGAATACCCCTCTGGTGACAGAAAAGATATAATATGCGCATGTGCATATTGGGAAGAGCGCGAAAGCACAGCGCACGCGCACCATCCGCTTTGGACGATTACATTAGCTCAAGCGATGGCTATCGTTCTGTACGCACGATTAAATTGATTTATGGATAAACGTTAACGGCGGCGTTTATTTGTAGTTCGTAGGTTGGCCGGTCTACCACAGGAGAGTGGGTGAGCCCGCCATAGGAATTCGATTTTATCTACTGACAGATACGAGATCGACCATTGCATGACGTGCTTTTTTTCCATTTACGATCGCCCGTTTCTTTCGTTTCACGGGCTCGATCGTACGTGCTCACGGAATCGAACATAAAAAGAGAAAAGAAACCAGCCGAACGTGTGAAAGAGAGACAAAAGATCTCGGAGAAAGAAAAGGTAGGTTAATAGAGATGGAATTTCAGTTAGAAACTAAGGACGGAGGGAGTAAGAGAGAGAAATATATAAACGGAATATAAGGGAGAGATACTGAGAATTCGCGCAATTTGCATTATAAGGAGCATGAGAAGTCACAGGCC